CTTCTTTTATAAAAAGTAGTTTTTCTTAAAAAAAAAAAAAAAGTTCTTGATGCTGCCAGATGCCTGACAATCACCATGAAGTTTAACCCTTGGACCACAGCAAAAACCACAAACATCACTTAAATGCCCATGTGCTCAAGGTGGTCATGTCCTCCCTGCTCTGCAAGGAGCTGAGGCAGAAGTACAATGTGCGCTCCATGCTAATCATTAAGGACAACGAGGTCCAGGTAGTCAGAGGACACTACAAATGTCAGTAAACTGGCATAGTAGCGTAGGTGTGCAGAACAATGTAATTCCTCTACATTTAAAGAGTGTAGCATGAAAAGGCTAATGGAACAAACTAACTGTGCGTGTGAGCATCTGCCCACACAAGGTGGTTATCAGCAGCCTGAAACTGAATCAAGGTCGGAAAAGTTTCTTGAACATAAAGACAAATTTTGGCAAGCTGGAAAAGACAAAGGCAAATATAAAGAAAAATTTGTTGAGAAAACACAGGAATGAATGTAACCTGTTGATCAATGACAATTTAACTAGATTTCTAGCCGAGTTATGTGTTCTTGTGAACTATGCACAATTTCCCTCTTGTTGTTTAGAGTGGCTCTGCATGCCCTTGCAATTCTGATTCATAATTTTAAGAATGAAAATTGGAAATGTTAAGAATAGTTCTTTATATGTAGATTCACTTATCAAAGACAAAAGGATCTGTCCATTACTTTTTAGAAACATTATTTCTGAATGTAACTGAATGTTTTTTCTGCTATTTATTTTTTGACCTGTGTGTATGGTCTTAAGTGTTCGCCTGCTAAGCATACAGCAGTTCTTGGAGCGTAAGTATCAGTCAAGGGCATTCCGAGACTATGACTGAAGTGCAATGCACAAACATGACTAGACACAGACAAAAACACAAATCCTATCCAAACCATAAAAATTCACGAATAACAAAAACTTCATCTATTTGGTTAATCAAAGTGACTGTTTCTTTACCAATTACAGTTGTAGACTCACTCTAGTCTTACCTCTTTGCAGATCAAGAATTATTAAGATACCCAATTACAGAAATATTCTATTTTAAAGAGTCTTACTTTGTAGATTTCCCCTAAGTAATAAACTAACACATTCAAGAACAAGTTGGTACTGGTGGCCTTGGTTCTTATTGTTCTAAGTTCCTTTCCATTAAGTGAAAGTGCCAAATAGTAATTCATATGAGCAATAACTGCTAACACTTCTAAGAAATATATTACTTTGTAATGATAATCTTAACCTACACTTAATGACATGTTATGTGTTTATAATCAAGTCAAGTAACTAGTCTACTAATCTGTGCATGCAACTAAGAGGTATTTCAGCATTTAGAATTTTTACCTCTTCTGATCAAAAGATACTTCAGTTAAAATATCAAATGAATCAAACTTAACATCATCATGTCAGAACTGACTCATAGCTAACTCTCCAGAGGGTTTTCAGAAAGCTATAAATGACACCAGACAAAATTAGTCCTTGTTCACCACTGAAGCCACCAGTGGATCCAAAGATCCAGATAAGAGCCACCTTCGAGATAATAGCACAACTCCCTACACACTGCTCCACCAGACACTATAAGGTACACTATAAACCATCTGGTTCAAGGCTCCCCTAGATATTCTGCTCTTTTTGTCTTCTTTTTTTCATCATGTTTAAATGCTCTCAAAATTATGCTACCTTAACTATGAAGGATAGTCCTTAAGTCCAGGGAAAACACTACACAACTGGTTAAAAAAAAATTTACTACTCTATTTGAAAAATAACAGTAATGCTATGATTCTTTAAACCTTAATTATGTGCTAAGTCTTCCAGTCCTTATTTTATATTAGCATTAACATTTTCAGTAGCCATCTTAACTTGATGATTTAGATATTGTTAAACTCAGTTTACGGAAAAAGAAACTTATCGTTAGCTAACCAAAGGCAGGCCAAGTCAGTCATGGCCATCCAACTTCAAAGTCTGTACATTCTTTTGCTTTTCTATCCGTTTTAATGAAAACTTTTAAACAGAGAGATGTGCATAAAAATCTAGATGTACCCATCACCTAACCTTTCAATGTTTTTCTTTTTCTTTTTTTTTTTTTTAATTTTGTGTGCATGTACCGTCAAATCAGATCTGACTGGTACAGGAGGATATTGCGCCTCCTTCTCCGGCAGAGCGTCTGGTGGATTCGAACCGTGTTCCTCTGGGATTGCACTGCAGCTTCTTACCACTAGGCCACCAGAGCTCCCCAATGTTTTTCTTTTTCAAGGTTTTTCTGGCTCAATGAAATAATCACCATGCTAGAAAGTCACAGTACTGAAAGAAAAATAAAGTACTCAAATATATTTCTAATTTAGACTTTTGATTAGGATACATCTTTTCATTGTATTCTAAATTAGAGCTCTAATTTTTCTATAAAGATAAAAAAATAGTAAGCAGACTATTAAAGACATCTCACCATTAAAAAATTTCTCCTAAATTTTTAATAGAAAAAAAATTTAAGTATAGAATTTATGGCTCATTCAAGAAAATTAGGGGGGTTTATCTACTGTATATAGGTCAGTTGTCACATTTTATCTTGTTTGAGGAAGTAAGATATTACATATCTGGAGGGTAATTAATTTTTAAATTTATTTGTATCATTCTGTTGTCAGGTGCTGTTGAGTCAACTACAACTCACAGTGATCTGAACCTTGCCCAACCCTGTGCCACCAGCATGATCTCCACCCTTCTCTAGTCACTGTATCAATCTATCTTATTGACGGTCTTCTTCTCTTTGACTGACCTACCTTTTCTGAGTTTCTAAGGCCTGACAACAAACCCAAAGTATGTGAGCACCCTGGCTGTACTTCTCAAAGACTATTTTTTTTTTTCTTTTGGCAATTTTTGTTAGTCAAAACTCTTCACTAGCACCACAATTCAAAGGCATCAGTAATTCTTTGGTCTTTCTTATTCATTGCCAATTTTCAAATCCATATGAAGCAAATGAAAATATGATGGACTGAATCAGATGCATTTTAAAATGTGCTTGCTTTTTACCATTTTAAAGAAGTTCATTGCAGCTCATTTTCCCAATGCTACAAGCTTTATGATTTCTTGACTATGTTCACACATAGATCCTGATTGTGGATCCAAGTAAAATGAAACAGTTGACCATTTCAGTCTTTTCTCCATTTATAATGCTGTTGCCTATTGGTCTAGTGGTGAGGGGTTTTGTTTTCTTGATGTTGCAATGTAATCCATAGTGAAGACGGCCATCTTTGATCTTAAATGTGTCCAGTCTTCTTTACCTTCTACATGCAAGATTACGTCATTTGAAGAAGGCTGGTTGTTGATGAGTCTTCCTCTAACCCTGATGCCACATTCTTCTTCATATAGTACAGCTTCTCACTTAAAAAGCTTCTCATATAAAAAGCTTCTCACTTGCTTAGCTTAAAAACTGAACAGGTTGAATCCACCAGATGCTCTGCTGGAGAAGGAGGAACAATCTCCTCCTGTATCAGTCAGATCTGATTTGATGGTACACACAAAAAAGTAATGAAATAAAAATTAAAAAACAACAACAACAAAAAAAAACTGAACAGGTATGGGGAAAGGATACACCCTGATGCACATTTTTCCCAATTTAAACCATGCTGTATTCCTATGTTCTGTTCAGACAAGCAGTACTAAGTATATTGGATACACACAGAAATACACACCTGACAATCCTCTCCAGTACCACCAGACTGATTCAACAAGTGTGCTGTATCACTCTGGTTACCACTAGTATGCCCAAGACGATGTTTAACAGGAACTTTATTAAGGACATATGCACCTGATGTCTGCGGCTTGTTAATTATCTGTGTACAAAATAAACAGATAGGTAGAGAAGTTTAAAAATATGCCTAGAAATAGAACAGATATACAGACCAATAGAGTAAAACTGAGAGTCCAGAGATAAACATGTATCTACAACCAAATGATATTCAACACAAGTGTTAAGCCTACTCAATGTGGAAACAAAAATCTGTATAATAAATGGAGCTGGGACAAATAGATTTTCACATGTAAAAATACTGACCTGGGCCTATACTTTGCAACTATATATAAAAATTAAGTCAAAATTAATCAGGAACAATAATATCAGGAATTCTGAAACTTTTAAAACATAACAGTAAATCTTTGGAATCTCTAGCATCTTAGATACAACACTAAGACCACAAGCAACAAAAGAAAGATAAACTGAACCTCATTAAAATGAAAAACTTCTGGTCATCAAATAACTTTATAAGCAAAATAAAGAAACAATCTATAGATCTGGAGAAGATATAGGGGAAAACTTATCAGATAAGCATTTAATATTTAGATATATAAAAAAATCTGTACAATTTAAAAACAAAAAGATAACACAATCAAAAAGTGGGCGAAACATCTGAACAGATAATATATCAAAAAAGAAATACAAATGGCCAACAAGTACATGAAAGATATTCAATGTAATTACTCATTCAAATCAACACTGTCAAGTCAAAACTAACTCAGCTAATCCTACAGTGAGTTTTCAGAAGCTGTAAATCCCCAGGAAAGAGATCTCCTGTATTTCTCCCAAGAAACAACCGGGGGATTCAAATTGCTTGCCCCTGGGTTAGCAGAACACCTCTTTACTCACTAGGCCACAAGACCCCTCTAATTTAGGTAAATGTAAATCAAAATCACAATTACATATCACTTTACTCTTACTAGGATGGCTATGGCAAAAATCAACCAAATGATAACACAGAAAGCAGAACTGGCAAGGATGTCCAAAAACAGGGACCCTTATCCAAGCTGAATGTAAAATAATGCTCTACAGTAAAGTTTGGTGGTCCTTCGAAAAGTTAAACAAAACGCTTCCATACGATCCAATAATTTCACTGTGAGGTATATGCCTAAAATTTGAAAGCAGGAATGCAGATACTTACACATTACAGCACTATTCACAACAGTTAAAAGGTGGACATAACCTAAATGTCTATTAACAGATGAATGGATAAACAAAATGAGGTCCAGTTTATCTTAAAAATTCCATTAATATTTTGGTGGAATCTTTCTAAGCCATAAAGGGAAATAAGAGTGCTGATACATGCTATAAAATGGACATCCCTGAAAAATACTATGCCGCGTGAAAGAAGTCAGGAACTAAAGGACAAGTATTATATGATCTCACCTATATGAAATATCTTAAATTTTTTACAGATCAATGACACCTATCAAAATGCGAATGATAGTTACAGGAAACAATAAATCAATATTTACAGACTCAGACACTTGATGGGACAGTTCTCCTTTATCTCAGGTGGTGGCTATGAGCCAGAATAAACCTGGTAGCAGTTAACTTTTGGTTTGAGGAACAGACGAATATGCAATTCTCACAGTACTTCCATCATAGTTTTTTGGTTTTTGTAGGTCACCAGGCCTTTATTTCTAGTAAGTCTTGTGTACAAGCTTCACTGATTATTCAACATGGGTGACCCTGCTGGTATTTTAAATTCTGGTGGCATTAGCTTCTAGCATTACAGCAACATGTAAGCCTTCATTCACAATGTGTCAAATTTATAGACTGGAACAATATCATGGTGAAGTTGTGTTCTGGGTTGGTTTCCCCACCCCGTAACCCCCCTCTACTGGTTTATTTACAAAATTCAAATACAAATTCAAACAAATGCTTTCAAATTCACTCACCCCCACCCCCATCATATTGTACAACCTGATCATTAATCTGCCCATCCCTGTGCAAATCCACATCCCTCTGCTCCCAGCCTCTCCCACATCTCTTGGATCCTTATACTCATTCTACAATAATGGTTTTATACAATATTTATCCTTGCACAAATGAGTTAGTTCATTCAGCATACTGTCTACACAGGAAAAAGCAGAAAAAAATGAATGAATAAAAGTAACACACGAATTTTGGCACAAAACCAGGAAAAAGTTCTAGATTCAGAATTGTCTAGTGATGAACAGTTAGCACATTTTCATGTACATTTAGATTATCCAATAAATATGTCTCCCAATGGGCCTTACTCTTGGAGATTGGCTTTGCAAGTTTGGGACGGTGAGATCCAAAATTTGGACCCAGATGTGAAAGAGTACATCTCAAACTTTAGTACGCATGAGTCATTTGGATAACTTGCTATAACACAAAGTTCTGGGCCTCATTCAATGATTCTGACTCAGCAGGTCAAGGTGAGACATAAGAATCTAAAATCCTTGTAAAACTCCAAGAGATGAGACAACTACTGTTCTATACATAAAGTTGTGCGTAGCAATGTTGTAGAAAATCCATGGACCAGGAATTGGGAAATTCATGAATTCTAGTGAGTAGGACAGTAAACCAGTATTACCTTCTGGACGGGTCCATGTACTGTTGAAGGAGGAGACTGGGTCACCAAAACCTGCTGCTGATGAAGATGCTGTGGTAGGGGATGACGCTGCTGGGACAGCTGCTGCTGAAGGAGCAGTAGTGTTGGGGATGGCAGTGTTGGCTGCTCGTTGTTTTCTCTATGCCATAAGACTCGAATGAATCTATTATTTAGAACTGCTTCTGTGCTGGAAATGGCTTTCCTGGCCTCCTCATTGGTGAAATACTCAATGAGGGCTGCTTCTGGATCACCCTTAAAAGCAACCTGTAAGAGAAAGACCAAAAAAAGAAAAAGTCCAGAAAAAATAGTGAAAAAGAAATTAAGAAAGATAAATATTCTGCTAAAATACACTGTGAGTCCCTTGTAAATCAAATTCTACATACACTAAAAAATGGCATACGTATTTCAAAATCATACATGAAAAAGAAAATTTTATAAATAATTCTACTATCAATATTTAACCACTTGGGGAAAGAAAGGTAATAATCTGTTATCTTATTTTCAAGTAATTTCTAGGGAAAATGTTTTACAATTAACAACAAAAAAAACAATAAAAATTCAGAGGAAAATGAAATGAATATTTTTATTCTGGGAAGCTTTGTCTATGTATATGTTAAGAGGTAAGACAGATAACTATATGTTGTTGTTGTTATGTGCCGTCTAGTCGTTTGCGACTCATAGCG